ACAGACATAGAGAGAGACACACAGAGAGACAAAGACAGAGACACACACACACAGAGAGAGAGAGACAGAGAAAGAGAGACAGAGAGAGAGACAGATACACATATAGAGAGAGACACAGAGACAGACACTGAGGGGGGGGCAAAGACAGATACATAGAGAGAGAGAGACAGACAGAGAGACAGAGACAAAGACACACAGAGAGAGAGGCAGAGAGAGACAGAGACACAGACACACATACAGAGAGACACAGAGAGAGACAGAGAGACAAAGACAGAGACACACAGAGAGAGAGAGAGAGAGAGAGAGAGAGAGAAAGAGACAGAGACAGAGAGACAGAGAGACAGACAGAAAGACAGAGAGAGAGACAGAGAGAGAAAGACAGAGACACTCATAGAGAGAGACAGAGAGAGAGACAGACAGACAGAGAGACAGAGACAGAGGGACAGAGACATAGAAAGACAGAGAGAGGGGCAGAGAGAGAGAGAGAAAAAGAGGCAGAGAAAGATAGAGAGACACACATAGAGAGACAGAAGACACAGAGAGAGAACAACCAAGAGAGACAGAGAGAATTTTTAAGGCGGGGGGTGTATTTTGCAGAGATGGAGCTTCCTAATTAAATGGATTGGATACACATTGCCCAATATATGGAAAACAAGATAAGGCAAACCACGATTGATTGATTGAACATCTTAATTACCTTAATGGACTCTAGCGTGTGAAATGCGTCAGGAAGAAAATGAGCAGTGGCTGTTTTTGTTTTCATTTGTGGCAAAGAAAGAAAATATTCCCTTTTTTGTGTGTTCCTTGCAAGTACAGAAGAATTAGAAAGTTGGGCGGACTCTGTCCAGAGCAGTCAAACATACGTGTTCTCTTGGCATGTCCAAGGTGGAAGTATTCTATGGTCAGGCTAGTCCAGAGATTTGCAAACTATGCAACTTTAAGACTTGTAGACTTCAACTTCCAGGGGAATTCTGGGAGTTGAAGTCCACATGTCTTAAAGTTGCAGATCTCTGGAATAGAAACCAGAAAATTGGAAGAAAAGAGGAGAGAAGACATGAAGGAAAGGAAGGGAAAAGAACAAGTAGAGAATGGAGGGATGCACTGAAGTGATAGACATAACAATTGTAGGTGTGCACCCAAGAAGAAGTGAGGAAAAGGAAGATAAAGGCAGAAACTTTCAACCAGTTGATATGCTGTGATTGAATTCAACCATGGCACCATCAATACAGGTAGTCCTCGACTTACGAACACAACTGAGCCCAAAATTTCCATTGCTAAGCAAGGCAGTTGTTAACTGAATTTTGCCCCATTTCATGACTTTTTTTGCTGCAGTTGTTAAATTGGTGTCTGCAGTTGTTAAGTGAAGTCCGCTGGGTGCCATTTTACCTGCTTTGTTGCCACAGTTGTTAAATCAATCACTGCAGTTGTTAAGTCATGACACGGTTGTTAAGTGAATCTGGCTCCCCTCCCCCATTGATTTTGCTTTTCCCAAAAGTGTGTTGGGAAAAAAATCCTTCTGGGTTCAATTCCAAGCGGGAAAAAGACGCTGGAAACATGGAGGCTGTTTGGAAAGATGGTTTAATGGTGGACAGGAGGACCTCGTGGCCTGGAGCTCCAGAGTGAAAAGGAAGGATGATCACCTGCTCCAAGGTGAAGGAAGAGATCAAGAAAAGGGGCTGAGGGGCTGAGAGTGCCTGGGTTTTATAACTTTTGGGGTTTGAATTGGAGCTTGTCTTCTGATTGGTTGTCAGACTCCCGTGGGGCCACGCAGGGGCAACTCTGTAGGCTGTCCTGAGTTCCAGGCTTGGCTGAGCCTGGCAGGATGATGATGTACTGAAAAGGGCTTTTGGCAATTGCTATAGTTTTAGATGGAGATCTTTGTTATGTAAAGTATTCTGGCCCAGGCCTTAATGGTCCACCCATTAACAAAGGTGGGGGTGAGTTTCTTCTTCTGAGTTTCTATTCTTTTTAGATGAAATATTTTTAATATCTCCCAGGATATTTCATTTTACTAGGAGGCGGGTGGGTGCTAACTTCCTACAAGTAGATCACACGATCCCAGGGCATTGCACAACCGTCATAAATATGAGCCAGTTGCCAAGTGACTAAACTTAGGGCTCAGTTGTGGTTGTAAGTTGAGGACTATCTAAGTGGGAAATGAACAATATTCCCTGCCCAATCTGTTCTTTCTTCAGAGCAGCCCAATCCAGCTGTTTTTTGGGTGGTCTGGGACTTTTTTAAAAAAGCAAACGTTCTGGAACAGGAAGTGGTTTGGGAGAGCCAACTTGGCACGTTCCGAGTCCCTCAATTGTGGTCTGGAGAAAGGGTGGAAAGTTCTAGAGTCCCTCGGAATAGTCTATTCCAAAAACAGAATTTTTCACAGATCTACCGTAGAGGGAGAATATGATCTGCAGCTGAGATGAAAACGACTAATCCAACATACTTTCCTACCTGATTTTAAATAGCCAACATTGGATGGTGTATGCTCTCCATCCCCGGAACAAAGATGGTTTAGCTTTTGAAGGTTTGTGGGAATCTTGACAACACGAGAACTTGTCTCAAAGAATGACACATTCTAGGGATGAGCTGCGGCCTCCTCTAGGAATGGTGCTTTATCTGCCTCCACAGGTAAAGTTGGACATCTTAAATGATGTAAAGATACGCCTTCTCCATTATCTAGATCATTCTCCAACCCATCGAGTAGAACATGGGAGACATTAAAAAAAACCCTCGACAGGTTCTTTCATCAACAGAAGAGAATATTGGTAGCTCAAGGTTGAACTGTGGGGTTCTTAGTGCTCCTTGATCCGGGTGGTTTTCTTGCAGACGTTTCATGACCCAACTAGGGAACATCATCAGGGCTAGAATAGGGTTTGGGGAAGATAGGAGGAAGAGGAGGAGGAGGAGAAGGGGAAGATGGAGAAGAAAGAGGAGGAGGGGGAGGATTGTGGAGTCCTTGGTGCTCTCTGAGCTTAGTGGTTTTCTTGCAGACGTTTCATGACCCAAGTAGGGAACATCATCAGGGCTAGAATAGGGTTTGGGGAAGATAGGAGGAAGAGGAGGAGGAGAAGGGGAAGATGGAGAAGAAGGAGGAGGAGGGGGAGGATTGTGGGGTTCTTGGTGCTCTCTGAGCTTAGTGGTTTTCTTGTAGACGTTTCATGACCCAAGTAGGGAACATCATCAGTGCTAGAGGGGAAGAGGGTTTGGGGAAGGGAGGAGGGAGAGCGGGAGAGCGGGAGGACAGGGGGAAGGTGGAAAAGAAAGAGGAGGAGGAGGAGGATTGTGGGGTCTTTGGTGCTCTCTGAGCTTGGTTGTTTTCTTGCAGACATTTCATGACCCATCATCAGTTCTAGATGGAAACGTTCTATCATGCCATTGCAACTGTTATCTTGACTTTTCTGACCTTTTTGTGTCCCCTATGGCAGTATGCTGACTGTTTTGCAACACTTTGGAAGTATGGAGTCTTTGTTCCATCACCTGAATTGGGTAATCATTAATGCTGGTGAGTGTTCATCAGCGCCACTGTCTATAAAGATGCTAGTTACTAATATTCTAGCACCAATGAAGTTACCTAGTGGGGTCATGAAATGTCTGCAAGAAGACAATCAAGCTCAGAGAGCATCAAGGATTCCACAATCTTTCTCCTCCTCCTCCACCTCCTCCTCCTCCTCCTCCTCCTCCTCCTCCTCGCAAACCCCATTCCTTTCCAGCACTGATTATGTTCCCTACTTGGGTCATGAAACGTCTTCAAGAAAACCACCACGCTCAGAGAGCACCAGGGACCCCACGATCTTCCTCCTCCTCCTCCTCCTCCTCCTCCTCCTCCTCCTCCTTGCAAACCCCATGCAAACTACCCAGCTCAGAGAACACCTAGGACCTCACAGTTCAACCCAAAACTACAAATATCCCCTCTCTCTCTCTCTCTTTGTTAATCTTTTCAAAGACCGTGTCAGCCCCCAGTAAGTGAACCAGATCAGAAATCAATCCTACAGTTGAAAGCTACATGTTGATTGAGAGTGGGTACCGTAATTGAATCTTGCAGGCCTGTGCTTTTATCTCTTCCTTTTATACTCACATGAATTATTGTGGTATCAGTCTGAGCTGCTTCCATATCATTGCTGCTTGTTTGGGACTTCAGATATGTTTTGATTTCTGTTGCTTTGGTAACAGACCTGGCCTGTGTTAGGGTTTTACTTAATATGTACACAACCAAGACAGCACTTCAATTCTTTTCCATACAACACTGTTAAAGTATAAAATATAATTCCCTACCGCATTCTATTTTCCATCAGTTTCGATTCTTATTTAATCTATCCCTTTTCTATCCTTGTACTCTACTTCTATGTTCTTATTCCTTTGTGTATAAATCTTATGTTTTTTTTTAAAAAAAAATCTTATCTATTTCTGAGCTCTTGAGGTTTTTTTTTTTCCTTTTGATTTCCCTCTTCTCTATGTTCTTATTCCTGTGGGTATAAATGGCGTGACTTTTTAAATTATTTCTTAATTCTTTTTAAAAAAATCTATTTTGAGTGTTTTTATTCATGTATGTATAAATCTTACGTTTTTAAAATCTAAACTACATCTTAGATTTCTTTTTAATCTTTTCCATTCTGTAGTCTGTGTATATATTGTATGTTTTTTCTTATTTAGGTTTTTTAAATAAATCTAAATAAATTATCTAATTAAATTATTTAATTGGGTTTTTTTAATTACCCTATTTTCTGTGTTCATGTTCCAGTATGTATAAATCTCATTTTTTTCTTTATGTTAACTATTTCTTATGGTTTGTTTTTTAATTCTCTTTTCTTTTCTTATTTCTGTATGTATAAACCTTATAGTTATTTTTTTAACCTCAACTATTTCTTAATTCTTTTCAATTTTCTTCTTTATGTTCTTATTCCTGTATGTATGAATCTTATGTTGTTTTTAATCTTAACTATTTCTTAGTTCTTAGATTTTTTTAAAAAATTTCTTCTTTTCAAGGCATGTAATCCTATTATGTATAAATCTTGCTGTTTTTTTTTAATTTTAACTATTTCTTAGCTCTTAGGTTTTTCAAAAAAAATTCTCCTCTTCTACATTCTTATTTATCTGTGCATAAATCTTATTTTTTTTAAAAAAAATTATCTTATGGCCAAATTCACACAATTTGTGTAAATAGGCACGTGAAAGCATAGAGGCTACCTTCACGCAATATGCTAAATTTGTGTTGACTATGGTCAGATTTTATGGGCTTATTGTATGAAATTAATCCAGTATGGTTGATTAATTTATGATTCAGTATATTGCATTAACCCAGAAAATGGGTTAATCCAATAAAAAGGTTACAGATAATCCTCGAAATACAACTGTCACAGTGCCCGTGCAAAATGGTAATACTCCTTAACTATTGTAGAACGGATCAGCCACATGAAGAACTGCAGTTGTTAAATTAGTAACTGTGTTGTAAAGTGAATCTGGCTTCCCCGTTGACTTTGCTCACCCAGACGTGACCCCAGGACACTGCAACCATCATAAATATGAGTCGGTTGCCAAGCGTCAGAATTTTGATCACGTGACCCTGGGGGTGTTGCAACGGTGTGAGAAAAGGGTCTGAAGTCAGTTTTTCAATGCCGTTGTAACTTTGAATGAAATAGTTGTAAGTCGAGGAATACCTGTAAGAATAGAGTTCCAATAATCCTGGAGGCATTTGTTTCCTGACCTGGCCCACCTGAAAGGGCCAACGTAGGCATCTGGATTAAGCCAGGAAACCATGTTAGGTTCATTACGTGGCATAGTGGTTAGAGTGCAGTACTGCAGGCTCCTTCTGCTGATTGCTGGCTTGAGTTGCAGTTTGAGTCTCACCAGGCTCAAGGTTAACGCAGCCTTCCATTCTTCTGAGGTGGGTGAAATGAAGACCCGGATTGTTGGGGGCAAGAGGCTGACTCTGTAAACTGCTTAGAGAGGACTGTGAAGCACTGTGAAGTGGCATATAAGTAAGTACTATTGTTTCTTGCTTCCTTGCTTGCTTGTTTCCTTCCTTCCTTCCCTCCCTCCCTCCCTCCCTCTCATCTATCCACCCATCCATCCATCCCAGCTCAAGGTTGACTCAGCCTTCCTTCCTTCCGAGGTGGGTAAAATGAGGACCCAAATTATTGGGAGCAAGAGGCTGACTCTGTAAACCGCTTAGAGAGGGCTGGAAAGCACTGTGAAGCGGTATATAAGTCTGCTATTATGGTTTCACAAACGTGCCGATACAGCTCCTGAATTCGTACTCACCGCCAGCAGGTGACCCAAAGCTACGGAAAGACCGATGGCCAGTGGGGCTGACCCAGAGAGGTCCGTTCGCCTCTTGTCCGTGGTAGCGAGCACGCAAAGCACCAGCTGCAATGTAGCGATGATTTCGATGCCCAGGCCTTGACCAGCATTGACCCCCGGTGCCAACTGCAAAGGAAAAAGGCCGCAAAGAGGAGAAATCACAGCTCTGCGCCAGGATGAAGCTGAATTGGACACTGGCTCACTTAATGACCACGGTAGCCATTTTATGACCGCCGAGTTCACTTAACAACCTCCACAAAAAAGATCATCAAATCGGGATGGATACATGATCAAACTGACCTGTTTTGCAACCATCGCGACCTATGGGCCAGCTCTAATATGGACTTATGTCCGAGACTATCGGAATTGCTTTGTCTCCAATACGGTGGTTTGTTTTATGACACTGTATTTCCCTCCTGATGTTTTATAGCTCCAAGCAACATAATAAACAAGCTGAGGCCAAAATCCAAGGCCATTTGAAAGAGGAGGATTTGTTTAAACTTACGGTAGGGAAGCTAGGCCTTGACTTACAACCATTCGTTTAGTGACTTCTATATCAGTGGTTCTCAACCTTTTCCGGCTCCACAGACCTGGGAAGATAGTGCCGGCGTGTGTGGGGGCATGGTTTTACATATGCATGTGCAAGTGAAGTTTCACACACTCGCCTGCCACTTGCGTGGACCAGTTCCCAACCGGCCCTGGACCGATTCCCTGTCCTACATAGAAAAATCAATCGTGTTGCTTTGAGCAAGGTGTGAAATGAACTAATGGGATTACTACACAATTTTGCGGCTATGTGTTTTGAGTTTCTCTCTCTGGAGCAAATGTCACTGCCGAACTTCTACAGAAGGTCTTTTGATGACCTTCTAAAATAGCTTTCCTCGGCCTTTCTGGGTTGGTGCCCTGGTGTGTGTGTCGGGGGGCGGGAAAGGAGGGGAATGGTGTTGTGTGAGAGGTAGGCATGCGGGAACAGGGACACAGCTTCATTTGTGCTTCAGGCATGCGGGCACACAAGTGGAGGCTGTGTGGGCACATACCAGAGGTGGGTATTCAGCTGGTTATGACCGGTTCTGGAGAACTGGTAGTGGAAATTTTGAGTAGTTCGGAAAACTGGCATATCCCACCTCTGACTGGCCCCGCCAATCCCATCGATTCTCCGCCTCCTAAGTCCCAGCTGATTGGCTGGGTCTTCCTTGGTTGCCCTGCACAGGAGAATGGAGCTGGAAAGCAGGTTAGAGGGGTGGGGAGGGAAGGGGGATTTTGCAGTATATCCTTCCCCTGCCACGCCCACCAAGCCACGGCCACAGAACCGGTAGTAAAAATATGTGAATCCCACCAGTAGCACACACACTCATTAGGCGCTCGTGTGGCCCAGCTCCCAATGGTCAGTGGCCATGGCTCAGGAATTGGCAATCCCGGGTCTCAAGCAATCTCACCATAGGATGGGCCTGTAGATTCCCAAAGGAACAAAATGGCAAGATTGCTTTATAGAGAATCACTTTGGTTTTAGTTACTCAGCATTAAGGGAACGAAAAGAGATAATGGTTTCTGGTAATTTCTAAGTAGTTGCTGAGAACTGGGTGGTGGATAATAATATGGAGGAGGAGGAGAAGGGCGGGAGAGGAGGAAGGAAGGAAGGAAGGAAGGAAGGAAGGAAGGAAGGAAGGAAGGAAGGGAGGGAGGAAGGAAGGAAGGAAGATAGAAGGAGCAAGGAGAAGAAGGGAGGGAGAAAGGAAGGAAGAAAGAGGGAGGGGGAGGGAGGGAGGGAGAAAGATGGGAGGAAGAAGAGGAGGGAAGAAAGGAAGGAAGGAAGGAAGGAGTAAGGAGAAGAAGGGAGGGAGAAAGGAAGGAAGAGGGAGAGGGGGAGGGAGGGAGAAATGGGAGGAAGAAGAGGAGGAGGGAAGAAAGAAGGAAGGGAGGGAGGAGTGGGAGGAAGAAGAAGGAAGGAAGGAAGGAAGGAAGGAAGGAAGGAAGGAAGGAAGGAAGGAAGGAGAAGGAAGAAAGGAAGATAGAAGGAGCAAGGAGAAGAAGGGAGGGAGGGAGGAAGGAACAGGGGGAGGGAGAAAGGAAGGAAGGAAGAGGGAGGGAGGAAGGGAGGAAGATGGGAGGAAGAAGAGGAGGGAAGAAAGAAGGAAGGGGGAGAAAGAAGGAAGATAGAAGGAAGAGGGGGAGGGAGGGAGGGAGAAAGGAAGGAAGAGAGGGAGGAGGAGCAAGGAATTGGAGGAGCAAGGAAGGAAGAGGGGGAAGAGAAGGAGGAGCTGAAGAAGGAGAAGGGAAGAGATTATAAATGCAATCAATGACTACAATTTACTACATTTTGAGGGAAACAGGCATTTACTTCTGGTATCTGGCAAAAATGCCCCATAGTGAACAATGGATTTGCTTAACAATGGTGGCATCCACTTAACAACCATCATGTTTGCTTTAGGACCACCACAGAAAAAGGTCATAAAATTGGATGTTGTCACATAGCAACTTCCTTTATGACTGTCATGCCTTACGACTGAAATTGCTGGCTCAATTACATCCATAAGCTGAGTGTCAGGATTCCGGCAGTTGCCCTAATTAAATCATTTTAATCAATTAAAACATTTCTGTGCTTGTTTTAGAGTTGCCACTGAGGACTGCTCGTATGCTTATGCATGTGTTCTCTTTTTAAGCTGTCACAGGGTGACTTCTCTGAACTATAAAAATATAAACATTAAAACCATGAAACTAGGGGAGATATTAAGCTATAGTAAAGGAGCATGCCACAGATGTAAAAGAGACACCACACCCCCCATCGTGGGCAGAAAAATATCACAAATTTAAAAGGCACGCCCTACTTGTGACAAAAGTAAACACTTGTGCAAGTAAAGGCTTTGCACATTGAAGGAAAAGCCCAGAAATTCCAAAACACTCCATGCAAAAAAGCAGTGGGGCTACCATCTTGACTTTTTTGACTTCCTCCCTTCCCATTGATACTCTTGGCATGGAAAAAGACCTTCCTACTTCCTCACATTGTTGTCCTAGGAATGTATGAACTATCATCAAAAGCCAGCTTGGGCATTTTCACACAGGAAATCATGGAATTGGCAAAAAAAAATTAATAATGATCCATAGGCAAGGCAACTTGACCTAGGCTGCAATATCCCCGATGGCCACAAAGTGCTGGTGAGAACTCATCTAAATTCTTGACCACCATCTAGTGGTGCTCTGAAGTATTAGCATCTTAGCTCTTCTATGAGAAAAAAGAAAAATCCATGAATTTTTATTTTATTTATTTTAATCCCACTTTAATTGTGGTGAAGTGGGTGGCAAACAAGTTTAATAAATTAATAAATATATGAATGAATAAATAAGAAAAACATGAATAAATGCACAAATAAACAATTTTTATAAATAATTAAAGAGGGTAAATATTTCTAATACTCATCCCAACTCCTATTTTCCCCACAACAACTGGACTAAAACACCCTTCATGTTCATGGCCATCTCAGCCAGAGTAATGACACTTGCGGTTCCAGAGTGCTGGAGGCCTGGAGAGAACCGGCCGCCTATCAACTAAATAGGAGGAATTGTCAGAATAAATGTCAAAGTGGACTAAGTGCTACTGTGGAAACATGTCTCCTAACATCTACGTTGTTTGTCAGAATCAGTGAGAACACTCAGTCCAAGGAAAGCGCACGTTTCTGGCCTCCGCAGGCATGATCCCCAAGCGCATACGGTGCATCAGTGCATCGGCAGCAAAAGGCCAGGGTGTAATTGGCCGGATTAAAGTGCTCCCTGCTCATTCTTGGATCTGCAGACGTGAAAGACCTTGTCCTCGCTGACAGCCCCACTTTGGGTGCCCATTTCCTGTCGGCCCCAGCCTTCGCTCCAAGGCAGATTGTAAACCTCTTGAGACTTATGGACACTTTTGGAAGAATGGGGGAAATGTTATTTGGATGTTGGAAGAGATAAGGAGAGCATCTCAGACAGGGGTTAGGGACAGATGGAAGCCAACATGGTAGGGAGGAGGAGGAGGAGGAGGAGGAAAAGGTGAAGAGAGATAGGGAGGAGAAGAAGAAGAGAGACAGGGAGGAGGAGGAGGAAAAGGAGAAGGTGAAGAGAGACAGAGAAGAAGAGAGAGAGGGAGGAAGAGAAGGAGGAGAAGAAGAGAAAGGAGGAGGAGGAAAGAGAGGAGAAGGAGGAAAAGGAGAAGAAGAGAAACGAAGAGGAGGAAAGAGAGGAGAAGGAGGAAAAGGAGAAGAGAGACAGGGGGGAAGAGGAGGATTATTGTGGGGTCCTTGGAGCTCTCTGATCTTTGATATTTCTTGCAGACATTTCATGACCCAACTAAGTAACATCATCAATGCTAGAAGGGAGTGAGGTTTGTGGAGAGGATGACGAGGAGGAAAGCTGACATTTCAGAGCATCTTAAAGATTTTCTAAATGCATTAAGCTAGATTTATATTTTAAACCTACTTTCCTTCCTTCCTTTTGCCTTTCTGGAGTTCACTTGACACAATCTTTTGCATTCTTCACGAATCAAAGTACTGTTGGAACACAGAAATGGCTTCATTCATGATCTGCTTTACTGTCAGCCAACCAATATTGGTCTCTCTGTATAACAACCTGAAGGGACGTTCTACCTCTCCACATTTTGGCTCCCCAAACGGTCTCTGGCTATTGTTTTGTTTCAGGTTCTTTTCTTTTTTCCTTCTTCTTTTCCTAGGAATTTCATTTCCACCATTTGAAAAAAGAAATGCAGATAACAGGGTACATATTTCAAAGTCAGGATTCTCATTTTCTGTCTGAACTTTAATGCACAAAGGGCATTAAATGCCGCCTTCGGTCTGATCTAAGTATAGTATATAAAATCATACATTGCAATGTCCTACCAATGTCAATGAATACTTCAGCTTCAACCATAACAATACAAGAGCACACAATAGATACAAACTCAAGGTTAACCGCACCAAACTTCATTGCAGGAAATACGACTTCAGCCACAGAGTGGTCAATGTCTGAAATACTCTACCTGACTCTGTGGTTTCTTCCCCAAACCCCCAAAACTTTAACCTTATAGACTGTCTACTATTGACCTCACCCCTTTCCTAAGAGGTCTGTAGAAGGCGTGCATAAGTGCACCAACGTGCCTACCG